TGGAATCATAGTAACTTATGTTTAATTTTTGAACTTAAGTTACCATGATACTATATATTGTAGTAATTATTAGTCATTGTAGTAACATTGATAGTAATATAAAGACATATTTTAACCAAGCATTTCAGCTCAGCTGGTTGTGAACTAACCGTGCCTAGTGAGAGGTCACGAGTTCGAAATCCGCTAGGCACATAAGGGTTCGAAACTCAATGAAGTGAGTTTCGACTTTGATTACACCAGGCCCCCTCTCCAAACCCCAGAGTAATAAAACAAAAACAAAAAAGGAAAAATTGATTGTAATAATCCCAACTATTGGCGGGTCCGCTTATAATAATCCCAACTATCGATTATTTCAGAATAATCCCAACTTTAGGGTTCTTCCGCCAATAACAGTCCCTGTACATAAATTCATGTACTTTCTAAAGTGGATGAGAAGAGATATAGCTAGTAATCTCTATAAATAATCCCAACTTTTAATTTTTACGTTTAATTTCTATTTAAAATTCACTTTTATAGAAAGTAATATTTGGTCATGGACCATTATTGGCGGATGGTCCATATAGTTGGGATTATACAAAAATAATCAATAGTTGAGATTATTATTTTCAATTTTTCCAAACAAAAAAGGCATTTTAAGAAATTGTTCAAGATAGTGTTAGTAATGATAACTCACAAAGCCATCAATTTGCCATTAAGATGTCGAACCGCCCGATTCAAAGAAGATTTGAAGATGGTGTGCTGAAAGAAGGATGGACAGGTAGACCAGGTAGTTCTTTCTGTTTGACAATTACTGGCCATAGATCTTTCCTTAATTTCCTAGAATGGCTTGATCTTAGTAGATCTTTCAGTAAATCGTTTTAATTACCCATGCGAAAAATAAGAGAAAATAAGTTTTCTCTATACTCTTATTGACAAATGCCCAAGATTTTTCATTTGTGATTCATTCATCAATATTCCACCTTGTCTTTGTGTTTCATTCATAACTTTCGTTGCTTAAAATTGCTAACTTGAAATTGGTTCTGTAATACATTCATCTGAAAAAGGTGTCTCAACCGTGGCCAGTAGCTTGTTCTGATAGATGCTGCCAAAGGAGATCCACCAGATTTGATCAAATACGGAGCAGTCTTTGTTGTCATCTCGTTTTACATGGTACATCTAACATCAAAATACGTCCTTTATTTAACTATAAACTACTAGTCTATCAGAGACACCTAATCATTGTGTTGATTAGTTTATCTTCTTTGTTCTTTAAGGTGTTCAGATACTCAAGTAGGCTTGGTTTGCTATTGGTTAGAACTGGTAATGAGTGGATGTGTGTTGTTATCCTTTTTTTCATGTTCATCAATTTAATAACGGTTATAGGTCGCCAGGTCTTGTGGCACATATTTGGGGTTGCTGATGAGTTTGTGTGTTGTTACCAGAACGTCGGGTGTGAGGGGATGAGTTATTGTTGCCCAGAGACTCGGCAGAGAGCGGACACAAACTGCGGCGTAGGCGGCAACAGCAAATTGTGCAGACATGGATCACATAGCCACTCAAGGTAAATTATTTCATGATGGTTAAAAAAATAAATTGCATCTTTCAAAATTGTGCCACCTTTTCTGTGCCCACTTTGTTTCAGCAACCCAAACAGCTCGGGTTCTGGTAGAATTTTTGGAAGTGGCCATCAACTCCGTTATCTTCCTCAAAGGCGTCTACCCGACTGGTAGGTTCATCTTGCAGCATAACTTCCTTCCTGTCACGACACACACACACACACATGAGTGAATGAGTAGGTTTCAAGTTTCAGGGGCATTTGAGAGGCGGCGATACCTGAATGTAGTGGTTCATAAATCTCGCCATCCTGAGCTTAGGGACTATATTCACTCCTCTGTCAATGGCCTCCTTCCTTTCATCCAAAAGGTTTCTAATTTCTTTCTCAAATTTATTTGATGACAAATTTACACTTGTTAGGTATATGTTTTTAGTTTACTTTAATGGTGTTGAAGTTCTCTTGATGTAGGGGGAGGTGGAGAGAGTTGCAGTAAATTTTTTTGATAACCAAAATGTTCCAATAGAGAGGTTTGTTTTTAAGATAGATGTGAAGCAGTCTTATGGTTCGAGTGTGGAAGAAGAAGGTGCTGCTGCTGCTGCTGACCTAGAACTCTCATTTAGGTCTTTCTTGATTAAGCTTGCCAGTTCATATTCTCTGACTCACACTCTTCCTCCTGGTAAACCTTATTTCATGCCTATCTTTCCACAAACCTCAAGACTTCAGGATTCCTATCACATTGGCATTACCAGACACTCATATGACAATACTAATACAATATTTTCTAAACATGACATAGGGTGAAAACGTATTACTCCCATTAGGGCAATTTCTTTTACTCCCTCGTCTCATTTAAAGGTTCCCACTTTCCTTTTTTGAACGGCCCACTTAAAGTTTCCATGTTTTATTTTAGGAAACAATTAACACTCTTAAATAACAATTTAATCATCAAATAATAAAAATAATACATTTATAATATCAAAGATATCTTGTATAGTCCATTATATTATATACTCATCATCAAAAATATTTCTCAAAATATAGTCGCATTAGCATATTTAATTATTGTCTACATAATAGTGTCATTTTGCAATAAGAACCTTTAAACGGGACAAAGGTAGTATTATTATTGTGATATTGTGATTGTGATTGTTATTATTATTATCACTACTGCTAATATTACTAACAGTACTAATAATATTAGGTATTTTCGGATTAAATCTAAATTCTTAGTATGATACTAGACAGAAAATATTCAATCTGAAAATCCTAACGAAACGACAAAGTAGATGGATTAACTTTGCTTTTAAATTTGGTGAAAGAGTGTTAGATAAAATATAGTAGCATTCCAAAAGAGCATCTCAAAGTTAAGTTGTATGCCATCTCTGATCACAGATTGCAGGTGGGAAATAACTGGTTACTTTCGAGCTCTCCCAGATAGCCGTAGTAGTGCAAGTAGAATATGGGTTTCCACAGGCACCAAACAGTGGCAGCAACCACCTGTGATTATGCCAATCAAGTCAATGAAGAGTGAAGCGCTTGTGCTGCAACTCTATCTAGAACATCCCCCAACTCCCCTCCATCAAAATCTTTCACTTTCCTAAGACTTGATCTTGAATCTTTCCCAGTGGTTGAGCTAAGGGCTTCTCTCGACATATATGAATGCAAGACAAGATGTTTGATGGAGATTTTGTTAAGCTGATATTTTAGAAACTTTATGAAGCGCACATTACATGAAAGCTAGCAACTGTGATTTTTATATTGAAAATTTTGACAATAATAATCTCACTTTTACTTAATCTCAAAATAATTCCACTTTTACCCTTCATTTTTTTGTCCATAATGGTTGTTGTCTTGTTGATGTGGTATTCTAGGTTTTTACCTTTTCCTTGAAAAATAAATAAGTAATCTCATCTTTCACTCGTCATCTCAAAATAGTTCATGTATCATTTTTCTTTCTTTTCCCTAATAATTTGCTTTCTTTATTTTTATCGCTGACATTTTTATTCCCTTCCAAGTTCCAAGCCTTTTTCTTTCTTCCTTTTCCTAGGTATTCTATTTATCGCTCTATTAGATTTATATTCACAAATAGATTTTTTGCCTTTTTCTTCTTCCTTGTATTTTTGTTGTTCTCTTTTTATGTATCTCTCTTCTAATTCATTCTTGTTTTACCTTAATTCCACCTATGTTAAGGGCTCACATTACATAATTGTAGACTCCCAAAAATGTGACTTACCATTTTGGTATAATTGGAACTCAAAACAAAAAAATGACTTGTTTATACATTTCCCAAAAAATGTGACTTACTATATTATTTATCCCCCTATTTAATATTACATTTATTATTGTTATATTTCAATTTTATAAAGGGAAAGTATAGCAAACAAAAGAATACGTCGAAAGTAAAAAACGAGTATTAGAGTCTCCAATACTAAAACGTGCACGGTGCACATGTGGCATGAGAGATAGTTAATTAAAAAATAATAAATAGAATATCTCTCTCCTTATTTGAAGGATCTTGTATCATTTTGGTAAGTTTTTCTTCACAATGTCAAGCACAATGTCTAGATGTAAACGTTGTGCTTGACATTGTAGAGAAAAACTTACCAAAAACACATAAAACCGTAGAAAGAATGAGAGAGAGATGTCATAAATTCAATTTTTTTGTGTCTATCTCTCTTATACCGCATGTGCACCGTGCACATAATAGCATTGGAGATGCTCTTATAACTTAATATTAATAGTACTCCATCTGTCCCTAGGGGTGGATCGGGCCCTGCCCGATTCCAGTTCGGGCCTGGGCCCGACCGGGCTTGGATGGTTTTGGATAAGGCCTGAACCGGCCCAGGAGTCTACCGGTTCCGGTTCAATTTTTTGTGTGTTTTCTTATTTATTTCAACCCTCACCCCCCCCATCCCCCCCAAACCCCTCAGAAACACCCAGAGCCCACCTAAACCCAGCCCAAACCCAAAAAAACCAAAAAAAAAAAGGCCCGAACCGGCCGGGCCGGTTCGCCTTTTTTATCACCCGAAACCAGAACCAGTTACCCCTCGGACCGAGCCTAAGCCCGGAACGGGTTTCCCGGGCCGGGCCAGTTTCACACAGTAGCAGGCCGGGCCAGTTTCACACAGTAGCAGGCCGGGCCGGGCGGCCCAAACCGAGTCCATGCCTATCTGCCCCCATATTATTGTCTGAATTCCCATTTACTTTATCAACACAAATCACTCTTAATCTTTTGCTTTAAATATCAAATATTTATCAAATTTGATTCTAGTTTTTGCGATTTTGTAAATTTTTTAATGTAGTTTCTGAATATGTGTTTTTTTCTAAAAATAATTTGAGTGTGGACAAGAACTACATATGATTAAATGTGATAATTCAATCATTCATGTGTATATGTATTTTATAGACAAAAAAACAATATTACTTTACATATTTATGCAAAAATATAGATAAGAATGCAATTTTTGTCTCCGACTAGTCCCCGCCTAGGCGTCTAGGCTAGTGCCCGACTAACGCCTAACGCCTTTTAGAACATTGAATCTTATGAAATGCATGCACAGTGTGCTGTGTTACAGACTTAATGGAGACAGATTTCCACACCATATACATTTCTCATCTCTATATTTTATGATCTTATCTACAGAAAGCTATGGGTGAAGTCCCAAGCTGTAACATTATTCCGGAATTTCGCATATCCCCCGCCCCAAAAAAATGCCCATTAAAAATACAGCATAACAAAGATACCTTAAGTGAAACACAGCACTACCTATTACATACATACTAGCAATGCAGAACAAGGCAAAAGCATGTTGCACACCCAACCACAGGCTACCAAAAAATGAAAAACCATTGTCTTCAGTTGTAAATTCATTCTGGAAACTCCAGAGATGGATTCCTACAAAAAAAATCAAACAGAAACTCAGATGCCAATCATAAATAAGTGATGGTGTAATAATGTCACAGAGTAAAACACCGACGATAACATGTAAGTATATTAGAAACCGTCAAAAGATAACATTTTACAATGTATCAAGTCTAGATCAAAATGCTACCTAAGCTAGAATTTCTAACTTAAATACAGAGTAAAACACCGAAAAATTGGGGGAAGGGGTATATTGGTAACTTTTTAGATACTCTATAATTAAACATGAGAGACATAAGTAAATTCAATTATATTGTCACGCCTAAAAAAGTCATTGTATGCTAAAAATGGTAAGAGATGAAAAACTCCAACTATGCAAGGTTGGAGTTTCAGAAATAAGTAGAATAATATTGTCTTTGATGTTTTTACAAATGAGAGAGAAATAAGCAAAACCACGAATTAGTTATGGGAATGTGACAAAGATTTTGACAAAACCAAAAAAGGAAAGTTTACAAAAGTCCAATAGGACGTAGGGAGTATAATGTGGCGCGTCAAAATATATTGTTATCTACTTTAAAATTGCAGGAATGATGTATATCCTTTAGTGTACTGAAATGTAATTGTAACCGTTATATTTCAATATCTAAAGACCATTAGCCAAAACTGAGCACCCCCCTTTTTCCTTGTGGAAAGATTGGTAAACTCTCTCCATGCCGTAAATGAGAATTGTGTGTTTCATTAAGGTACAACCTTTCAACTAGGATAAGGTACATCTCATGTAAACTATCTATCCTAATTATATTTATAAAATTTATTTGTTTGTTAAACTAAACTTGTCTGGAATAAGCTTTGAAACACAGCTGTACTTATCTATCTGATGAAAGGAGTAACAATTTAAAAGGTGGGTAATACTGGGGAGCAACTAACGAATAATCAAATCAAGACAAAAATTAGAGAGTCGCAATTAAGGCCAGGAAGTTGATGACTTGGCTTTCCAGTTTCAAAAAGACTTAACTCCATGTCATGTGTGGCAGACCAACCAGGTTCGTAGGTCTCAAGAAATCCAAGCTTTGCCTTGTTTGGAAGATCATGTGGATGAGCAAACGGGACTCCTTGTGGCCACCCTATCTCCATTCTAATGGAAGCACACGGGCTGTCAGTAGATTGAATATGGGTCTCACAATCCTTCAGGTTGCAGAACTTCATCTTTATGCCCTTCTTATCCGCAATGTCCTGAACTCTCTCCTTGAGAACTCTCTGTGCCTCCAGCCGTAACCTCTTTGAAGGAGGAAGAGCTTTAGATCTTGATTTGTTCTTCCTTTTCGTTGTTTCGGATGTCCTCATAGATCCTGTAACCAGCATTTCATTGATCCGCCAACTTCCTATCGTTAAAAGATTCTCACTAAAGAATGGAGTGGTAAAGAACCAGTTTAAAATTGTGATATTTTTAAATTCAGAAAACTACTAAGCCCTGTTTAGTAGCATTATTCAGATAGTTTTGCTTGCTAGCAGATTAATGAGAATACGTAGCCTTCACTTATTTGGCTATCAATCACTTTTTGTTTCAGAAAAATAAGCAGATTCAGATTATCCATTTCATACAAACAAACCTTACCAAACCAGGGCCTATTCTTCACATTTCTGAAAACTTTTCCAAAGAACGTTATTTTTCACATTTCTTTTCCAGAAATGAGATGAAAACTAAATTATTCAAATTTGCATTGATGTTCAATTATGACAATGAAGTTCACAACTATAGGTCTACAAGCAAAGCTACAAATTTCCAGTAATTTAGACACACTTCTGTTTCATCTAAAGGCATTACATGTGGAGCATCCAGGCCAAAGTCCTTCAAATTAACATCTACTCTTTTGAACATGGACTCATTTTACAAAAGAACACAACCACATTGTTTAAAGTGGACCTCTTTCAATTGGGATATTAATGATATAATGTCGGCCTAACAAAAATACACCATTTTAGGAATAAAAATTAGGAGAGGGAAGCTAGTCACGTGGTATTTGTTACTCCATTTAA